TCTTGATTTAACAAGATTGTCATATTTCTGGTTTGAACAATGCCATGCATACATAGGGTAATATGAACTATTTTCTTTGAAATCAGTAGGTGATTTCAAGAATTTTTTGGGTGACTCTCAACCCTCCCCCTTTTTTCCTTTGAGTTTATATTATTAAGTATACATAAAATTAGTCTGTGCTGTTTGTAATTGTACATGTATAAATCATGAATGCTTGTTGTTTGTGATGCCTGAACGGGCCCTGATTTAGAAGTAAGGAATCTATCTTTCTGATAGAATATGATACATCCCCCTTATTTGGATATGAATTTCTGAAAAAATAGTATGTGCATTTTTTATGTCTGTTTAATTTTTTTATAAAGGTCACTTTTTTAAAACTGAATTATAAATTAGTTTTTAAAGTTAAAAACTTTCCACGGAACTTTTTTATGTCTATATTTCCTCTCCGTAATTAATTTTCTTAAAAGAAAATAATTCGTAAATTTGCAACGGGCTTAGAAAGTTTAAATAGATCTAATGAAAATGTCATTTATTGATAACATGTAACTATAAATTAGTCTATTAAATAGATTACATGTTTCGAAGATATGGGCATATTTCATAAAATTAACATTTCCGACCGAAAAAATACTAATCTTTTAAAACAAATCTTATACTTACTACGACACAAATTGACATCCCGTGCTGATTGAATGTACTTCAATGAATTGCTGAAGGATTTCCTCTGACAAAACCCAACCTCGTATACACTTTTCGTCTCTACTTTCTAATCTAAACCCTGTTACCGATTCTGCCATTGAAGATATTTACACATAGCCTGATCACTTTCAAATGAATGATTGTCGATAGCTCGGCTGCAAGTTAAAAGCGAAAGTAAAAATGACGTATGCATTTTTTGTGTACTTGACTTCACGGGCTTCCGGTTGTTTCAGATAACGGGCTTATAGATTTTCCCGTTCTAGAAGCTTCCGTCAATATGAAGATCGGTGAATGACGAAAGTAATTTGCACATTTCCCTTTTTAATCAATTATCACAACTTATTTCTTTTATATCATTTAAATCAAGTTTTGATTGAATAATTCAGTGATGAAGTTCTATGATATAAATAAACGATTGCATGTTATCAGTTTCATTAAAAATTGCCAGTAACTTAGATCCGCCAACCGGAAACGCCACCGTACTCTCTTTTTTCCTATTTCATGGCTGTTTATCGAAAATGAAAGTAGACTTTTAATTTAATGTACGATACTTACTATGCGAGTGAAATCCAAATGTAGTTTACGGACATCATCTTGTATATAGTGTATTGTTAGGGGAGTAAGTAAGACCTCTGGTGCACCCGTTTCGGAGTTTATTTGCAAAATTTGTTAATTTATAAGTATAGATTGTAAGCCTTCGATACCAAATCTATGGAGAGAAGGATCACAGGCATTTATGCCTGCTTTTCAATCCATTTCAGGTAGAGCGCTCGCTCCATGATCGGAAGGACGTGTGTTCGAATCACGGCCGCGACCGACCTAAGTGGATAAAAAATAGGTAGCAACTGTTCCTTCGTCAAGCGCTCGGCACTTTGAAGTGAAAGATGCGGATCTTTCGGATGAGACCTTAAAAACCGAGGCCCCGTGTCTCGGTAGGTTCAAACTTTTTCCACAATTTTTTTTCACAACCAATTTTTCCCCCAATACACTAAATTCCCAATCTGATTAAAATCTTTGTTACGCTCCGAAATTCTGATGGTCTGAATTTCGGAGCGTAACAAAGATCTGATTTTAATCAGATTGACTAAATTCCTAAACTTTACCTATGCTACAGCAAACAGAGGGGGAAGGGCAGTCTGTCAATGAACATTTTCAAAGTTTGGAAAAAAGTGGGAAGTGGCCCTGCGTCCCTGATTCTTCGTGCCTGATAAATAACTTTTTTCAGACTTGTCCACACTGACAGATAATTTTGTTCCACAGTATATTCTTATATTTAAATTGTGTGATACACATACACCGCCGTAATGGGGTGAAAGAATTTAGTGACAGGTAACCTTGCTGAAAAGTGAACCCCTCATCCGATACAGATTTTTATTTTATTTTTTGTCCCAAATTATTTTTTGCACCTTTCTGTCGCTTTCTCATTCCAGTCTTATTTTAACTTCACTGGATCCTCACCAGATAAGAAATTACAACTCTGGTATATTTGGAATGATCTTAAGTAGAATATACGGGTAAAAAATAAATTTTACAAGGTGAATTATGAGCCTTCGTTTTTATATGCATAGTTAATATTATGGACAATGTCTACAGTATGAACTTATGCAGATGCAACACGGTTATATTGTGCGTGGAATTATAAAATCTGAAAATATATTGAAACATCAACCGAGCACTTGTATAAATGACTGAAAATACAAGACTTCAGAATATTAATTAATCTGATCAGTCCTAACCAACGGCATCCAAAAGATTGGGAATTTATCCCCCCCCCCCAATCAAAAAAAAAAATGTGTTGCAAGGGGACCTATTGTGACGTCATCTTTGAGTTTATTGCGTAATTTATTTACATAAATGCGTGCAGACGTCAACTAGGCCGTTTCAGTAGCAAAATAAAATAAAGGCTAGGATTTAAGCATTTTCTTTTCTGCAATAATACTTTTAGTGATTTCATTTGTCAGCTGAACATTTTTATTTATTGCTTTAGTATATTAAATTGATCTCTTCCCTTCTTACTTGCAACATTTATCAAGTGTAAGGCTTATTTGTATAAAATATTATCGCAGTTTGTCATTTCTATAAAATATTTTTTTTTAGTTTATATGCTATTTTCATTACAAATATATTTGTATAAGCAATATAGATATGGTCAATCAATGATAAATTTATTTTCTAACATTATTACACGAAATACACTATTACTATTACTCCTAGATAAGAAATCGCCTCTCCACTAACTTTGTATCCGCCACCGGAAATAGTCATGAAATGTCAAAATTAACATACTGCACATTCCTCGAGCAAATTCTTACCATTATTTTTGCTTGTCTTTTAACAAATTATTTTCAAATATATATGTTTTATTTTGCTCGAGAGGTTTGCAATACTTCAATTTTGGGAATTTGTTGTAAAAATAGTGGAAAAAATAGCAATTTCCGGAAAGAACGGATGTTTAAATCCTGTGAATACCTCTAATCAACGTACTTGCGAAATTTTGTTATGCGTATATCAAAACTTCCAATCTTCATCTAAATGTACAAAGTAGTAATATTTTTTCAAACATGTATATAAAAATACGAAAAATTGTGGGCCTTCGAATAATACTAGGGACCTATATACTAGTATATAGGTCCCTGATAATACGTAACGTACTTAGTTCTCTGCATTCCGGTAGAATGATCAAGAAATCAACTCAACTAACTTTCAAAGAGTTATCACAGAGAAAACAAATAGAAATGGAAATATATGCCTTTCAACATACAATTTTTTATACTCTTCTCCATAGATTATGTATCTGTTTATTCTACATGAGGCAGAAGTGGATTTCTGTATATCCTTTAGCACCGACTCTTGCTGCCTCTTGTTGATGTATCAGACATTTTGAATTTACCGGGTGGGAGTAAATTTTGTATTTACTCCCACCCGGTAAATTCAAAATTTAGAACATGACACTTCTCTGCTTTGATTTTCACACAATAAAGTTTCTATGGTTAAGGTTCAGATAATGATAAATGCACCAAGTGTTAATAAAATTCTCAGATTATTTTAGCTCACCTGAGATGAATATTAGCTTTTCGGGTAAAAACTTGTCTTTCGTTCATCTGACGTCTATCAGACCCAGGTCCCTTGACATTGTAAGGATGACATGACTGATAATAAATCAATGCATAAAAGATATTTACAAGAGGATGCTGTTCATTTATCATTTTGTTTTGGTTTAGCTACAATTTGCTCCCATCAACTTCGCATATGTTGGCATTCCCTCATCAATTTTTAAGCATGGTGAATGTTGGATATTCTTGCACAGGTAAGAAATAGTGCATATTTTGTGTACTGCATGTAAGTTTTTTTTAATATTATACCCCCGCTCCAAAGGAGAGGGGGGATACTGTTTTACCCTTGTAAGTCTGTCTAGCTGTCTGTCCGTCTAAAAGGATTTATTACCAAATCAGGGCCCAATGGTGGTATTTAGAGTTTCATATGTAGACATACCGGTAGGCTGTTTTAATTTAAGATATATCATTCTGCATTTTTAATGTGCAGACGTGCATTATTATTATTAAAGTTATACATATATCTAAACACATAAAAAAAATGTCAAAATTTAGAACATGACAGAAGAAAAAAAATGGACGGTCAATTATGACTGTGTAACTGTATTGTCCCTCCATTTTTCTGGCAAAGGATTAAAACCAGAAAATCACTCACTTGAATTTTTCGTTTTAAATTGGTGATATCACTTATTTACGGATACGGAAGCCCATTTAGGACCTATCAAAATTCTACAATTCGTTATATCGAATTTGAAAATATTTTTTGATAGGTCCTAAATGGGCTTCCGTACTTATTCGAATGAGTGATATCACCGATTTAAAATTCTTAGTACATCAAATAATAAATGGTTCCTTCTTCAATACATTGTAGCATCAATGCAAAGTAAAGGATGGAATTTTAAAAGCTTTCGGTGAACTTTTTTTCTTAGCATTAATTAAAAAACGATGGTATTTATTTCCTTACTCGTTAACAAACTTTTTGAAAAGATGATACAAAACTTCCTGGACTTGTTAAACATAATTTGAGTCACATCCTCTTGTATTTCGGCATTGATTGATGAAATAAACTGAAGATTCGCCATAAGATTTCTTTTTTGGCACACAGAAGGAAAGGGGGGGGGGGGCTGGCAAAATCGAATGGTCTTCCCGTAATATGATCTGGCGGTTTATTTACTGACGTTAAATGATAAATTTGTTATCTAAGATTGATAAAATATGTCACAAGTGCGATAACAAAATGGGGGACGACATCAAACTTTCATGTGAGGAAAAAAACAAGCTTCAGGAATGGATCTGTCAGAGAAAGAAGGGAAAATTCACCCTTCTTTACAAAATGAGCCGAGATGGATGGAATGCTACAACTTTTCATACAAAATGTGACTGTAAAGGTCCCACTGTTACTGTTCTCTACAACACCAACGGTACCGTGTATGGGGGATACACATCTCAAAGCTGGACAAGTCCTACGGGAAGCGGTTACTACGGCAATGACCCTAAAGCATTTCTATTCCAACTTCGTAAAAGCGGAAATTGTTCTTTTAGAAAGTATCCAGTTTTAAATAAGGGGAATAATGCCATCCAATGCATAAATAATAAAGGACCGACTTTTGGATCAGGTCCCGATTTACAGACTTTTCAGGGAAACGGAGATATATATGAACAAACTGTATTCAGCTTGGGCGGAGCATGCAACCTTGGAAATTCTTACGATGCAAATGGAAACAACTTTTCAGACTTTGCAGATGGTCATATGAACGTTTCTGATTTAGAAGTTTACCAGTTTAATGGTGAGAATTTATAATGCAAACATTATATATAGAAGTGCCCCCCCCCCTTCCGAAAAAGGTATATGATATCGCTTCCCGATCATTCCTGATCGAAGAGTTGGGATTGAAAAGAAAAATCAGTTTTCCTGAAGTGCTGCACACTGTCCTTTGTAACTAAATGCATTTCGCTCGAGAAAAATACTAGTACCTGGCAGACTAGTGTAATATTTTTCTTATCCAAAGTAATGATGAGTTTGAAAATTGCAAATTATAATTAAAATAAAAGTACAGCCTGGCGATGTTGTAGGGTCGAGTCATTTATGTTAGCGATACAACACAAGGACAACATCACACATATTTTTCGAAATGATGTACGTGTATTCCATTATTGATAAAATTATATGCATGAAATTTTTGTTTACCAACATATGTGTTGAAATAATTAATAGTTTTTAGGAGAAGGTAATGTTTTAACGAACCAAACCAAATTTTCATTTACATCACATCATCAAAAAGCAAAAAAATATGGAGGGGGTATTTTTGAGAAACTACTAGTACCATGACGTCATGGTTTTGACGTTAAAATGTTGTCAAAAGTGCTCTGTGGTGACAAAACACGTTGATTTTAAATAAAAGTAACATGAGTTCCATTTGATCAAATGGAATGAATCTACACACATCGACAAAGTAAATGTTTTATATGGAAAATATTATATATGATACTAGTAATGTGTTGATTTTGAATTTCTGAAAAATAGTATGTTATTGTATAGTGTTATTGTCTAGGTATATCTTTAATGACTCTCGTTTTGATTTTCAGTGTTGTCTGATTGGGAGGAAATGGAGTCAAACTGGAGACAATGTCCTGAATGGGATTCAAAGGTACATTTGTTTAAAGAGTATATATCAAATATTTTTTTTATTTAAATTGATTCATCATTTAATATGAAAAAGAATTAATTGCAATTTGCACTGTATTACTAAAATTGTAATTAATTCAAGTATTCTAAACATTATATGAGACCGAGATAGAGTAATTGAAAACTTTATTTGCGTTTAAATTTCAATTGGAGTAAACAAAAGCGATTTTCCTTGGTTTAAAAAAATGCAGCCTTTTTTAAAAATTAACGAGATAATTTTGATATGCACTATGCTGTATAATACGGAGCATTCAATATGATCTTTCCGCACTGTAATTGTTTCCAACATACAAATCTTTTTTTCCTCCAATATTTTTATCCAAATAAACCATGGATCAAAATACAGTCTTATTTTATCTTGAATAGACATTAAAATTTGTGACAACGAAAAAGTTTGAAGCTACTTCGCATAGTCAATCTGTTGACCTTTCTGCACTAAAAAAGTCAATTATCTGGCATTAAAGAATTAACAAGCAATAAATAATCTTAAAGTCTAAAGATTTTAGTGAATTTAAGCAGAATGGTTAAAGATATTTTATTTATTCAACTAGATGTGTCGTAACGCCACGACTGCCCCCGCAGACAGCCAAAATTTCAAATTTCAAATTGTAAGTTACACATTTGTAGCCGAAATAATGATTAGAAATCGTGAATTTTTAAATTTTTTCCAAGTTCAAGGAGGATAACCGACAAAAATCATCGGACCACGACCAAATTCGAACTTGACCTGCATTTTCTAGTAAAATACCTGCGTATGCAATTTCAACCTCATACATACATCTCTACAAAAGTTATCGAGAGCGGAAACTGAAAATTAATTTTTTTTCTTAATTCAAGAGGGACAAGCTAATTCAGAGAATCTGTGTCCCCCGCTTAAGGAAAAAAGAAAAACATGCGCGGATCTAGAGGGAGGGGTCGAAAAGGGGGGCACTTTTAGAAGGGCCATAGGGTGTTATGGTATAAATTTCATTATAAAAACTTAAAATTTTCTTTCGTGAGATATCGCCCGGAAATAAGTTTTACACACACACAGAATGCATGAATTTACGACCTTGACCTTTGACCTCAAAATAAATAGGGGTCTTCCTTAGGCCATAGGGAGTTGTGGTATAAATTTTCACTGCAATTGCTCAAAGGCTTCTCGAGATATCGCGCAGATAATTTATGACCTTGACCTTTGACCTCAAAATAAATAGGGATCTTTCTTAGGCCATAGGGAGTTTATTGTGTAAAATTTCATTGCCAAAGCTAACAAGAGGCCCAAGGGCCACATCGCTCACCTGAGCACTGTGGCTAGGAAAAAAGGAAAAATAAGTTTAGTATTGAAAAGCTTAAATGCATAAGTGGTCCCAACCTACCCCTAAAAAGGGAGTGGGGGGGGGGGGAGGGGGTCATGATTTCAACAAACTTGAATCTACACTATCTAAGGATGCTTCCGTATAAATATGACAAACCGTGGCTTTGCTGTTCTTGAGATTTTTAAAGATTTTTCCTATACATTCCTATGTAAAAATTTGATCCTTCATTGTGGCCCCACCCTACCCCCGGGGGTCATGATTTGAAAAATTTGAATCTACACCACCTGAGGATGCTTCCACATAAATATTACCAATCATAGCTTTGCTGTTCTTGAGAAGAAGATTTTTGAAGATTTTTCCTATATATTCCTATGTAAAACTTTGATCGTCCATTGTGGCCCCACCCTACCTCCGGGGGTCATGATTTGTACAAACTTGAATCTACACCACCTGAGGATGCTTCCACATAAATATGACCAATCATAGCTTTGCTGTTCTTGAGAAGAAGATTTTTGAAGATTTTTCCTATATATTCCTATGTAAAATTTTGATCGTCCAATGTGTCCCCACCCTACCCCCGGAGGTCATGATTTGTACAAACTTGAATCTACACCACCTGAGGATGCTTCCAAATAAATATGACCAATCATAGCTTTGCTGTTCTTGAGAAGAAGATTTTTGAAGATTTTTCCTATATATTCATGATTTGAACAAACTTGAATCTACACTACCTGACAATAATTCCACATGAGTTTCATCTTTCCTGGCCCACTGGTTCTTGAGAAGAAGATTTTTCAATAATGCCATTAATTTTTTGCTATTTCATAATTATCTCCCCTTGGAGGAGGGCGTGGCCCTTCATTTGAACAAACTTGAAACCCCTTCACCCAAGGATACTTTGTGCCAAGTTTGATTGAAATTGGCCCAGTAGTTCTGGAGGAGAAGATGAAAATGTGAAAAGTTTACGACAACAACGACGCTGACGACGACGACGACAGACAACGGAGAAATTTTGATCAGAAAAGCTCACTTGAGCCTTCGGCTCAGGTGAGTTAAAAAGCTTCTCGAGATATCGCGCAACGAAAGTGCTACAGTCAGACAGAAATACAGACGGACGGACAGACAGACCGAAATTAATACCCCCCATTTTCAGTGAAAGCGGAGGACAATAACTCTGTCAAAAATTATCGGACTGTGTAGTGTAAAATACACGGCATCCGACCAGCTTCGGCTAGTGGGTTAACCCTTTAGCTCAATCGGTAGAGCACTGGACTGGCAAGCCAGAGGCCCCGGGTTCAATCCCCAGCAAAGGCACATAAATGTCTCTGTTACATTTGCCGCCCAAGTTGGGACCGGACCTTACCTGTACCTTGTATGTACATCTGCCACAGCTACCACAGCTCTAACAACATCAGTTCAGTCCAGTCAGCAGTCAGCAATTGTCAAATATAAAGCATGCAGTGCAATGCAAAGTTGTTAGTAAAAGAGCTATTTTGAAAGAATTTCAATATGAAACTATATAGTATATACATGTATTAGTTACCAGTACAATACGGATAGGGCACAAATGCTTTGTTCTCAGTATAGTTATTTCTAATGCATGGCTATAAATAGCAGATAATAACACAAATAATCTTAAGTATATACTGGTTAGGTAAACAAGTGTTGTATTAAGGTAGACTGTCTTACTAACCACTGGTGGAATAATTCTAATTGAATCACCACAGAGTTAATGCACAGATTAGTCACAGTATAAAGTCAAAGTTCACAGTGTTAATCACTAATGTATGTAGGCTAAAGTCAGCCAGCACAAAACTTTTACTGTTCACTATAGCTCTCACAAGGAGAAAGGTTGATGTAGACCATCATTCATCATGCAGAGACATTTATGTGCCTCTGCTGGGGATTAAACCCGGGTATTCTCTGGCGGGTGAGAGTAATTGTCTCCAGAACAATCTACAGGCGTCGGCACTCCAAAAGAGATGAGGACATCTCATTTTCTGGAGGGGGCAATGTGGTAGTGTAAAATACTACTTACTTCGGCTAGTGGCTTTAGCTCAATCGGTAGAGCACTGGACTGGCAAGTCAGATGCTCCGGGTTCAATCCCCAGCAGAGGCACATTAATGTCTCTGTTACAGGACCACGACTAAATTCAAACTTGACCTGTATTTCTGCATATGCAACTCCAATCTTAAACATACATCCCTACATATTAAGTATATTAAGAGAGCGGAAACTGAAAATTTCTTGTTCTTTCTAAGTTCAAGAGGATAACTCTGTCAAAAATCATCGGACCATGACCAAATTAGAACTTGACCTGCGTATTCCTATGACGTATCCATATAATGTGTGTAACTGTTGCCGAGAGTCAATGATGACGAAATAGGGTAACACTATATGCCCCGGCCATTTTATGGCGGGGTATAAAAACGAAATTAAAAGTGAGGGTATAATTTTTAGATACTACTAAAATAGTGTTTATTTTAAGCTTAAACTGGGACTTTTTTTCTGGACTTTCAAATTTTGTCATAATATGTTAATTACATTCATGGCAGTTAATTCAATAGATAATTTAGGACCAGTGCAAAACATTTCACTGCACAAAGTAACTGTTTTCAGCCTGCGTGGAAAATAGGAATCCAAATCCAAACAAAATTGCATTCATTCTTCTCCCAAGAAACACACAGGTGAAATATGAAAGCCGAAGCGCCAATCGTTCAAAAGTTATGACCAAGGTTAAATTTCCAAAAGTAGGTCAAACTCCAAGGTCAAGGTCAAAGGGTCAAAGTTGTTGGTATCCAAAGAAAGGTCTTCTCACAAGGATTACACATGTGAAATATGAATGCCCTAGCACCAATTGTTCAAAAGTTATGGCCAAGGTTAAAGTTTTTCAAAAGTAGGTCAAACTCCAAGGTCAAGGTCAAAGGGTCAAAGTTGTTGGTATCCAAAGAAAGGTCTTTTCACAAGGATTACACGTGTGAAGTATGAAAGCCCTAGCACCAACCGTTCAAAAGTTATGACTAAGGTTAAAGTTTTTCAAAAGTAGGTCAAAATCCAAGGTCAAGTCAAAACGTCAAAGTTTTTGGTATCCAAAGGAAGGTCTTGTCACAAGGATTACACATGTGAAGTATGAAAGCCCTAGCACCAATTGTTCAAAAGTTGTGGCCAAGGTTAAAGTTTGGTAGAATTTTGCAAAACTGGGTCAAACTCCAAGGTCAAAAGGTCAAATATGGTGGTACCCACAGAAAGGTCTTGTCACAAGGAATACACATGTGAAATATGAAAGCCATAGATCCAACAAATCAAAAGTTATGGGCAAGGTTAGTTTTTGCGGACAAACAGACAGACGGACAGGGCAAAAACTATATACCCCCGAATCTTCGATACGGGAGCATAAAAGGTTTTTTTTCTGAAATCGAGCCCTTTACAATATTACAGGCTGATTCTATCAAAGATGTAATTCAATGATCAATAAAATTTATTTTTCATAACTAAACTCTTCACGTCTCTTAGACATTCAAGAAGGTTTTATTTCATTGTCCTCGATTCTAGATCCGATCATATTAAACTATTGAAAGTTCTTTTTGTATAACACATTAATAATTCTTGTTTATTTCTTTTATACCTTACTCAAAATGAAATACCCCTGGTAATTTAGAAGATCTAGCAGATAAGAAAGTAGCGAAAGATATCAGGGGATATCAGGGGATCGCTAGTCAATAAAACGTGGATAATTCCATCACTGTTCTAATTAAAATTTATTACCTTTTTTGTGAAATCTGAAAAACACCGTTGATATCCCTAATAGAAACCCTTCCGCTACAAGACATAGTTCCTCACTTAATGCTTTTGTATGAAATTTAATCCTGGGATTTAAATTGAATATGTATGTAGTTAATTGGCATTCTATAATCCAACTTTATTGAAGAACTAAAATATGATGCAGAATTTTTAAAATAGAAGTCCAGACAAAAATCTGCTCGAAAACTCAGGATCGAACCTCTTTGAAAGGAATAAAAGAAAATGATAAGGCATATAGAGAGGCAATATCTTGTTTTGAAAAAAAAAGATTATCAGTACATGTATACATTCGTAAGAAAGACTCGTGTTTATTGAAAACTATCTTATTGTTATTTTTCAAGGCCATGTGATTAGTTATATCATCATCACCAAAGTCATTTAGTTGGTTGTTTAATTCAAAAATCTTTGATTCAGACACTGGAAGAGTTGAAAGATGAAGTGGAGAATTACAGACCATTGGAGGAGACAAATATTCCAATGGCAAACATTCTGTTGATTGGAAAAATCGGAGCCGGGAAGTCAAGCTTCATCAACACAATCAACTCGATTTTCAGAGGAAACATCACCAGCCCTGCCATTACAGGGATATCAGACCACAGCCTCACAAACTCTGTTTGTATTGTTTAGAAAAAAAATGTTCAAAACCTAGATTATTTCTGCTTTCAATATATTATTATAAGTTGTAGTAGTATGATTTAAAGGTAAACTACATTTTGAAAAATGAAGGAATAAAAGCATGCGATGAATGGTAAAAATATCAAATAGTACATGGGATTTTCGAGTGTTCAAAAGAAATTGCATCATAAATCCTTCCATACAGAAAATGAAATTGTTATAATCATCTTCTGATATTATGTTTTAAAGGGGTTTTGAAGGCTTTGTCAGTAGTAAATAAATACTAAATAAATATTTATGTTATGCGTATCTTTAATATAGTAAACCTTGTCTTATCCGGACACTATTGGTGCCCGTTTTACAAAAGAACTTACGATTAAGATCAAACACTTCAGTTGATTGTAAAACCTTGCATAATCAATGATTCTGTGAGCAAAATTGCTTGCAGGAAAATATCTTTCCAAGTTATTTTGAAAAAGACTAAATCTTTTACAAATTAATGTAAAAATTAAAGGTATTTCCATTATTTTAGTTTACATCATATTAAGCAAGATTTCGGAACACACAACATCCGGATTAGACAAGTTTCACAATATCTAGAAAAACCACTAGAAATAATAATGCTTTAAAAAGTACACATTCAAAAAATATGTATAGTGGCGAGAAGACTTGTTCATTATTTATAAATATTAAATGATTTGAAATCTCGTCCCTTACTCAAAAGAAAAATCGAATGTACGATGAAAATATTCTTGTTCAAAGTAATGTGTGGTAATTTGTGCGCAAGAAAGCCAAACTCTTTCGTTTATGTAAAAGAACTTGGACAATAAAAAAAAATCCTTATGGGTCAGTGAATTCGATCTAGACGGAATGCATTCTGGCTTAATTGTTGTACGGAAGAATTCGTAATTTGTAAAAATTGGTAAAGAATGCAAGGAATTTATCTTGATTATTTTCTTTCAAAGTATTTCAAACTATCACAATCTAAAGATAATAAGACCTAACTCATATTATTTACATTTATTGATTATGATAATTTTCTTATTTATTATAGTGAGATATTTACTAATTGCTGATAACGATTTAATGATACATGTAACAGTAAACACCTGTATTTCATAGCTGAAGATTTACCAAGTAAGGAGTCAGATATCAAGAAAACCACTTAATTTTCATTTGTATGACACCCGTGGACTAGAGGAAGATCAAGGAATCGACTCACAAGAACTCTGCTACATTTTGGACGGGAATTTACCAGATAGATATACGGTAATTTTGTTGCCTGACGCCACGTGCGTCAGGCAGTATAAGGATTAATATTTCAGGTATCCGAAACTAAGCGATCATTCTTAATGAACTAGATTTTATGCAAGCTGATTTACATCAGAATTTGTTACCTGCATTTAAACAAATACAGTTTGCAGAAGAAAGAATCATATAACTGATGCAAAATAATGATGTGTTTAATTCCTTCAGTTTTTTTGGATGCACATGTTTATTCTTTGCGATTCTTTGTACAGACATGTCCGTGTAACATTTTTTCTGCGTTTCTAAACTACTAGATCAGTCCATTTGCCTTCTACGAAAGGGGTGACACAATCATTTCGCGCCAAATGTCACATGTAAATTATCTTCGCGCCTTTTTCTTGGGTTGTTCTATTGAATGGGTGTGATAACTTCTAAGGAAATAAATAAAGTTTATCTTTTAACATGTTCTTAAGCTCCAGATTTTTTATTGACAGTAAATTTTATATCATTTTTTTTAAGAGAACACATTGAATATGGACAGGCAACACTAAAGCAATGGATCTGCTGGTTATTCTTACTATTTATCCCATAAATGGACTAGTCTTATCATAAACAAACTCCCTCCACCTAGTAAATGGGACATCCCTTCTTGATTCAGTCTGTTTTCCACCTAGCCTTTCTTTCAATATTACATTTATAAATAATGTACGTTACAAGGTTAGGTTTTTAAAAAAGCTTAGAAAGTCAGCGAGTACCATATTACTTCATGCTTTGTGATGAACAAGGGTTTCCTTTTAATACAGTGACAAGAGTGTAGGTCAGTAGTAGAGGAATGGTCTTCACTCCCGTAAGGTTCTAAGTAAAGAATCGGCAAAATGAAGAAGACATGATCTGTACTGGTTTTCATTTCATAAAAAGCACGTTATTATGAATATGAGAAAGGTCCTGAAATCGATTGAAAAGAAAAACTAAACCATTTCAAAACTGTATAAATGTATTTTAAACTCATCTATAAAACATGTACATGTATATGGTAAGACCATCATCGCGTGAGTTTTGTCCGGGAGTTGGGGTGGGGGGTGGGGGTTATTAGTACATGTATCTTGTTTTGCGCTAGCTATAAAGTGTACAGGTCATTTATTTTGATTTTTAGAACAGCATTGAAGCATTTTTGTCTCAAACACTTCAAGACAACTTTCCCAGTTAAAATTATTCATAATTTACTTCGTCGTCGAGAACGACGGAAAACAGACCAGTCTATAAATAGAGGCCGTCTCATCAATCTATCACTGACCAGGGAGTGTGCATGAAGAAGCGCGCTCTCTAGTAAGAGAGTACATGTAATATGAATTTCTTTAAAACGAATCATCTAACTATTTTTCCCAGAATTATCAGAGGCGGATCCAGGAATTTCATAACGGAAAGGCGCAGTAAAAGGCAGAGGGTCTGGGGGCTGTATTGAAACAACAGTGGGTCCAGGGCAAAGCCCTGATGGGGGTTCGGAGCGAAGACCCCGGAAGCTGACGAATTCTTACAAATAAGATGTTTTTTTTTTCGTTGATTTTAGGAAAATGAACATATAAGTTCTATGTACAAAAAATTCAAACGGGGGTTTGGAGGGGGGGGGGGACGCACGCCCGGCGCGCCGGTGCTGGATTCGCCTTTGATTATAATCTACGCTAGCGAACTTGCAGTTTCATCCCAACGTAACTAGTCAGCCCGTGGGCTAAGTAATAAATGACCAAATAGTGGCATGTCTTAGATATTCGTTAATCTGTAGTATTTGGTTATTACATTTGAGAAAGTCAATTGTACATCTTGTGTAATGAAGTATCGCAACTATGTCGCTCATTGATGACGGAAACGTTTAGCACCTCTCTTGCATATACGTTCCATAGCTATTGATTGATTAGTCAGGCAAGCTTTTTGAAAAGCTATTACTTGTAGCGGACTTAAATTTTGTATGCAGTAAACAACGGTCCATTACACAATTCAAAAATTGTTAAAGCTAGTAATTAATAATTTGATTAGATGTAGGTATATACATCGTAATTCAATTAATTTGATTATGTTAGTTCAATCCATCCTGTCAAGCCAGACCCGATATTCCAGGATTCAACAAGAACCCTGAAATGAAAGAAAAGATCCATGTTGTCGCATTTGTGGTTGATGCAAGTACATATAACACCTTATCAGATGAAATTATATCTAAACTGAAGAATCTTCGCACAAAAATGAACCAGAGAGGTACGCATCAAAACATTTTAATGATTTTTAGCTCACCTGCACTGAAGCCCAAGAGAGCTTTTCTGATCGACAGGTGTCCGGCGTTTGTCTGTCGTTCGTAAACTTGTCACGTGCACATTTTCGACTTCTTCTCAAGAACCACTGGGCCAATTTCAACCAAATTTGCTACAAAGCATCCTTGGCTGAAGGGGATTTAAGTTTATTCAAATGAAGGGACACGCCCTCTTTCAAGGGGATATTATTAAGTATTAGTGAAAATTTGATGACATCTTTTAAAATCTTCTCAATATCCACTGGGGCAGGAAGGATTAAACTTATGTGTAAGCTTCATTATACAGTATAGATTCAATTTTTTTCAAATCATGACCTTCGAGGTATGGGCCACAGTAGGACCCCAATAGGCAATTAAAGTTTTGCATAGGAATATATAGGGAAAAAACTCTTTTAAAAATCTTCTCAAAAACAACAAAGCCATGATTATTTCACATTAATATGGAAGCATCCTCGAGATCAGGTAGTATAGATTCAAGTTTGTTTGAATCATGCCTCCTCCTCTGCCCCTCCCAGGGGGTTAAGGGGGACCACATACATTTAAATTTTTCAATACTGAGCTGATTTCTGCTTTTCTCTAGCCAAAGTGCTCAGGTAAGCGATTATTTTGTTATTTTCTTCATCAGACACTCTTTGTACGCCATTAAATGATAATTATTCAGTAATCATTATTTTCAGACATTCCACAAGTTGTTCTCTTGACCAAGATCGACAAAGTAAGCGAGGTTGTTGAGAATGATTTAACAAAAACCTTCTCCAATAGAGTTATCCAGGAGCTCGTGGACGATGTAGCGAAACTGACTGGTATACCTCGCTCTCACGTGATGCCACTGAAAAACTACGAGTGTGAAATGGATTTAAATCAAAATGTTTCAATTCTTAGTCTACTGTCTTTACGTCAAATTCTTCGTTTCGCAGATGATTACTTGGTGAATAACACGGAATCCGTAGGTTTCTACCAGGTAAAATCTTCTGACTGAATATTTACAAAAAGAACACTAGAAAAAAAACTTATGAATAAAAACAATGGTGTAAATTTTATATGTGATTGTTTTTAATCAATAAAAAAAAAGCGTATTTCCAAAGCAAATAGTCATAATTCATGTTCAGCCTAGTGTTGTGTTATACTCATGAGGTCATTTATAACATTCATTTTGATTTGTTCTTTTGATTTTGATAGAATTTTTTTTTTGTTGTAAAATTTTGATGTTTTTAAATACAGGGATTTTATGTATTTTATTTTAATTGTATAAATATTTTTCTCCTTTAAAGTGTTACAAGCGCGAAATTACAATTATTTGATGCAAGATTGAATGAATAAAGAAATTCATAACTTTTCTATCTAGATATTTTATTACAAGGAATAATCAACCACGATTTTAGAATAATTGCATTGTTATGGCTTGATTCTTGACGATGCATTATACAGTTTATCCAATTTTCAAGTTCGCAGAAAACAACCTCTCATGAAAATGGGTTTATAAAGCATTTTATGTATTTTAGCACTTCTAGTCTAAATTAAGTTTATACAAAAGGGAATTAATTTGAGATCTTTGCATTATTTTGATTAAGACATGTAGTAAATGCGCAATTATGCTTTTTTTGATCTTGAATTTGAGTAAATGCATAAATGATATTCAGTAATTTGTAGTTGGATATGAAATTTATTTGGATCACGAGTTGGACAGGATTTTCCAATATTTGCATGAGTGCAAAGCAGGGCGTAAAATATCAAAAATGTCTTTTTCACATGTAAAATAAATTCCACGACCTACTACAAAACTTTACACTGCTTATCTATGATATTTTCTTTGGCTTTCCTTTTCCCCGTGTGATTTTTTTTTACTTGAAATTCAAAACAATGCAATTCCATAAGAATGATGCAAGTTTTAAAGAAAACTCAATGAATTTAAACAACTACATTTAGACAACTTTAAATCAACCTTATTATGGGAAATTCAAAGTAAAAATTTGACGGAATCAATTTAATATTTTTTTGTAATTTGATAACATTTATCACGGATTAATATTCTGGGCGATTTACTAACCGAAAATTCGAAGTGGATGTCGAAAACCGTAAACATTGTTTTTAGCAACAACTTGAGGAAATTCTGGCTGTTTAAGTCGGATCTAGGATGGTATGTTCATAGTCGCTATAACCATAAGGAGTGTTCTCTTATAACTTTTTCGTTTATTGGGGAAAATTGCACTTTTTGTCACGAAATTGTGTTCCAGTTGTTATTTTCCCATTCCATATATGTGCAATCTTCAGATTTCCAGTTTTGGTGTAGAACCAACAGTTCATACAAAAAAATTGAAGGAATGTAAAGTTTCTATTAGAGATATATTTGACGATGTCTTTTCCGATCCCATGTGTTCTATTTCAAAATGTTCTGTCAAAAACTGTAAAACTTGTGATATTTTGATTACTAGATCTTCGTTTACTAGTAATCTTACTGAACAGAGCTTCTATACCAAAACTTGGGAAAATCTGAATTGCAATTCTTCTAATGTTGTCTACGGAATAGAATGTACCGTTTGTGGGCTTATTTATGTTGGTAAAACCAAGGGTTCACTTAATAAAAGAATATCGGGGATATATTTCAAATTAACAGCGGGGGCGAGCAGCTTCTATACAAGCATTTTAATTTACCTGATCATTCTATTTTGTCAATGAAAGTTAGAATTCTAAAAAAAAGATTTACCATCACTAATAGTCCATCACTGAGTACACCTTTCTGTAGACAGCGAGAAGAATATTGGATAAGAAAACAAGGCACGGCCTTTCCATATGGTAGCACTGACAATGTCTATAGTGTTGATAATCTTTCAATCCCCCAGTGTAGCAATGTGGATTGATGGACTTTTTAACAATACACAGAGACGTAAGCGTAGTCATGGAAATCGGTCTAACAATAAACCTATTATACACGATGTCTCCTTTGATTCACTATTTCCTTATGTAAATAAAAAGTTAGGCCTTTATCACATTCGCACCAAACTTTACTCTGTACCTTTGAAAGTTTTGAATAGTCTATCGTTAATGTCAAGGAAAGTCCATATTTGGATTCTTCGACACCAGAAGACAGGCTCGGATCTGTGATAATGGATATTGCAAATCATAGGCTCTTTAAAGGTGCATAGACACAGATTTGAAGTTTATATTTTCTCGAATTTTCTGTATAATATCACAACTTATATGTTACTATAGCATTTCACACGAAAATAAAATTATAAACTTGTTCAATCTGGAAATTATTGAAACTTTGAATTTCGGAAGGCGTTTGATTAACACATTCTTGCACTTTCACAATTCTTAAGTTTATCCTTAATACTTAAGAAAAGGAGCAATTCTGTTGTGTATCAATGAATAATATTACATCTATAATCCAGAAAATTCAGAGTAAAAATGTGCAAAAGCAAAACCCACTCACTTAAATATTGTCAGCCCGTGCTCAGTGTTGTGTACAGAGCTTAACAAATTGAATACACCCGTGAAACGTAAACTGTTTTTGTAAACAGGGCACGAGCTCTGTTGTTGTTAATGTTTTCGATTCACCGGGTGTGTTCAATTGTTAAACTCTGCACACACCACTGAGCACGGACTGACAATACTGGTGAGAGGATTTTGCTTTCTACATTTCTACTATGAAATTTCTGCATTATAGTTTTAATATTTTTCATTAATAAACAACAAAATTGCTACTTTTCTAAAGTAATAAGGATAAATCATAAAGTTAAAATTTGTGAAAGTGTAAGGATGCGTCTATCAAACGCAAAATTCGAAGTTTCAATAACTTCCAGATAAAATAAGATTTTTATCAAATATTCGTATGAAATGCTATAGCAATATATAAGTCATGAAATTATACTGAAAATTTGAGTAAATATTAACTTCAAATCTGTGTCTAAGCACCTTTAAACTGCCACGTTTCGCGGAAGAAAATACCTCTCAAACAACCTGTTTGTTTCTTTAACTTCAATATACCAACAAAGGAATTGACGCAGTTTATACAAGTAATATTCTTCATCACAAAAAGGTCCAGTCTTGTATATTCCTCTATATTTCAAGTTGAAGTCCATACCTTGTATTTCTTACAAATATACATCGACAATTGCTTCCAAAACTTTTTAATTACAAAAAAAACTCTACAATGCCCAGATATCGGACATCTGATACGTAATCCTCCTACGTGTTCATGTCCTTCTTCACCCAACAACTATACTCTTGCTGGACACGTTATTACTGGTGACGTAATATAATTAATAATGAGAACCCCAAATAACTTACTATAAGAGGGCCAAAGTTTAGGGAACCCCTATCTTTCAACTGGCGTCATAATTTCATAAATATTATGAATTCAGTAGAAGATCACACCAGAAGATGGGCTAAATATGAAAAAGAAGACTTTGATACGATTAAATGTAACAACATTGTCTTTGTTTGTAAGGCTCATTATTTGAATTGTATTTCTGAGGAACTAGGATTTAATTCTGCAGGTGGACATCCAACTTATACCCATAGCTCCCTTTCTTAGGATGAAATTCTTCATAACCATATGTCAGTTTTAAATATTTGTAATATTCCCAGCAACCAAAATGAATTTGAATTACCATATCTATATTGGATTCCGAAACTTCATAAAAATCCTTACAAACAAATATACATAGCGGGTTCCAGTAAATGTTCTACCAAGCCTCTTTTTTTACTCCTCACTAGAATATTTACAGCAGTGAATGAGAAACTTCAGGAGTAGTGTACAACAGTATATTGAAGAAGTGGTGTAAATCAGATGTGGATACTTAAAAACTTCAAGGAACTTTTAGAAAATTTGAAATCACAAAATTTTAACAAAATCAATAACATCAAAACGTATGACTTTTCAACACTTTATACAACCATTCCCCACGATGAATTAAAGTCCAGGCTTTTTGACATCATAGACAGCTGCTTTTTCAATAAAAATGGAACTCGTAAATATACTTGTCATTGGTCATTTGCAAAATTATTTTGTTAAAAAGCATTCTGATTGTACACACAGGTACTCTGAAGTTGATATTAAAAAGATGCTTGAGTTTCTAATTGACAATATATATGTAGTTTTGGAGATCAGGTCTTTCAACAATCTCTTAGAATTCCCACGGGTACCAATTGTGCCCCTCGTTAGCAGACCTATTTTCGTATTCATATGAAGCAGAATTTATTCAGAAACTTCTAAATGAGAAGAGTCGTCAAGGTAGCTCAGATGGTAGAGCGCTCGCTCCGTGATCGGAAGGTCGAGTGTTCGAATCACGGCCGCGACTGACCTAAGTCGATAAAAAATAGGTAGCGACTATTCCTTCGCCAAGCGCTTGGCACTTTGAAGTGAAAGTTGCGGGTCTTTCGGATGAGACCTTAAAAACCGAGGTGACGCCCGCATAGCGCAGTGGTTAGAGCGTTTGCTCTAGACTCGCGGAGTAAGGAGTTGATCCTTATGTCGCGGGTTCGAATCCCACTGTGGGATATGGATACCGGTCCTTCGGATGAGTCCGTATAAACCGAGGTCCCGTGTCGCAGTAGATGCTGGCACGAAAAAGATCCCTCACTACTCAATGGCCCTAAGTGCCGAGTATAGGACAAAATTTACAGCTCTCCATCGGCAAGTGGTAGCGTCTCCATATGAATGAAAAATTCTCGAGAGGGACGTTAAACAACAACAAACAAACAAAAACCAAGGCCCCTTGTCAAGGTAGGCGTTGGCACGAAAAAGAACCCTCACTGCTCAATGGCCCTAAGTGCCGAGTATAGGTCTAAATTTGAAGCCCTTCACCGGTATATGGTGACGTCTTCATATGAGTGAAAAATTGTCGAACGGGGCGTAAAACAACATACAATCAATCAATCTAGATGAGAAGAAGAAAACACTTGCTGTGGCCTTCAACTCGACATTTTGATATATCGACGACGTATTATCAATTAACAATAGTTACTTTCATTCATATGTCGACTCGATATATCCCAGTGAGCTTGAAATAAAAGATACTACAGAGTCTGACACATTTGTTTCATATTATTTGGATAATTTATAAGAAAAAGACTTTAATGGTATCCTAAGAACAAAGCTTATGATTAAATTGATGACTTCAATTTTTCAATCCTCAACTTCCCTTACTTATGTAGCAATATACCCTTATCACCTGCATATGGGGTTTTTGTCTCTCAGTTGATTTGATACGCAAAAGTATGCTCTACGCATGAACAATTTCTAAAACGAGGTAAGCTATTGACAAACAAGT